AAAATTCGTATATAAATTATTAAATAAAAAAGAAACAAAAAAAAAAAAGAAGAAGATGAAATGCGCATACGAGCAGTTGTCTCGTCCCGTTAATAACCGTAGTTCATACGTAATTATCGTCAATTAATTTTGCATCGACTACCATTTATTTTGCGTCTTCCCGGAATTTCCGTCTATAATCACGCCTTATCATACTACCACGGACAGCAATCCTCCGTCTGGCTCTCTTGCGTAATATATACATATTATTATGCGCTGCAGGCTGTAAGAACTCAATAAATTTTACGACTTTCTTTTCTATCAATCCACATCTTTTCACTGACCTCCTTACATTACTCTCATACTTTTCCTTTAATTAATAAGCTCGTCAGAATTTATCTGTCTCTCAAGATTAAATATTATTTATTTAACAACCTAAAGCTACTGTGATCCTTTTCTCCGTAAAGTATTTAATTTTACTCCTAATGTTTCATAAGAAACGTCTCGCAGTGGTGATAATTATTACTAAATATGTACCGATAAGAAGGAAATCTTTTCTCGATGGAAAAGAAAAAAGTGAACACGCAAACGCGATTGTTTGTTCGACAGCGCGAAACAGACGACGGCATTGAACGACGATCGTAAAAGACTATTATTGGAAGCTCTGTCATTTCTTTATTTTCCATTATATTCCGCGAGTCGATCGTGTCGAACATACGGGCATAATTCACGTGTCACGTAATCTCCGCGTAGAATCTTCATCGGCGATACATACGCAGTGACACAAACTAGTGAATCTTGGGAAAATTAAATTAAACACTGCTTTTAAAACGACGGTCTTTCAGAATTTTGTAACAAACGCAATCTCATTGCTTCTGTCACGGTTACTTATGTACAATTCTTTGAAAACATGACAGAAAATTGTAGAATCTCCTACTTTGAATTTAACATTGGACTACAGTAATTATATTCTACCATTTTATTCTGAAAAATTCTTTCATTGATTTGTAACAAATTTTCCTTCAGTGAGAAATCACTTCATTTTCAGTCATTCAGTCATTCAGAAATCACTCATCTTCCTTCAGTGAGAATTCATCTACTTAATAAAATTTATGGACTTACTTGCATGCCTCAATTTCTGAGTATGAATATTTATTTTGCATTTTTGAGTACGAATATTGGAAAAAATTTCTTATTTGTAATCTACACCGGTCCATCGATTTACGCGGTAAATTGTTCTTCCGTTTGTCTGGTATCAATTTACGCAGTCGGAAAATATATTTTTTTATAATCCAGCTATTGAATTTACTACGTATCAGTGAGACGCAATTTCTTACTTGATTGTACCAATAACATCATTTTGACGTCACGCATAACGGCATAAGCGATAACAAATTTACTTTCCCTTCTTCCTACAAATGTTGTAAATAGAAAAGCAACGCAGTGAAGCACAAAATTTTCGCGGTGAATATCAGGAAATTTATGAAAAATTAGCAAAGGTAAGATTGAGGAAAAATCGTCCAAAAATATTAACATCACCGATGAAAATGAAGTAGAACTTCCAATTATTTCAAGGGATAGCATAGTGACTTTGAGCCAATTGAAAAGAAAAGGATGATTGTTTTGAATTGTAATAAAACAGTGACTCTGAATACAATTTATTTTTGTTTACTGAATTTTAATTTGTTTTTTGTCAATCTATGTGAAATAAATATTTTCAAAATTTATGTTGGTTTACTAAATTATCTTTTTTGTTTGTCAATCTATGTGAAATAATTATTTTTATAATTCATTCCGGCTTTTCTCTAGTGTTGACAGATTCTATTTACACGTTTTTATTTCGCATAAACAAAACCGCACGGAACGAATACTCCGCGTAAATCGAAGGTGTACATATATGGAATATACAGGGTGTCTGTTTTATCTCAATACAGCGAAATATCTTTTAAGGAAGCGATGTTAGGAAAAAAATGTTTTAACAAAAGTTATTTGGTACGAGAGGGAAAATTATCTGGTATAAATATTTTTTTTGTATCGGGTATGGTGGGGGAGATTTCAAAGTCAGTTCATTTTTTTTAAATGGAATGCTATATTTTTTTATACACAGTATGATAGTGTATGTTAAGACGAGTTCAACGAGGTAGAACATTGTCATTTTCTTTCATGGAAGGTCGTAAAATTGCGAAAAACCGAGAGCCGGACCACCATACGTACCTCACTGTCGCGTGTGTCTGTTTTATCAAAGGAAATGACTTTGTTCGCACCTCGTTGGATTCGTCTTAACATACACTATCATATTATGTATAAAAAAATATAGCATTCCATTTAAAAAAATTAAACTGACTTTAAAATCTCCCCCACCATACCCGGTACAAAAAAAAATATTTATACCACATAATGTCCTCCTCTATACCAAACAACTTTTGTTAAAACATTTCTTTCCTAACATCACTACCTTAAAAGATATTTCGCTGTATTGAGATAAAAGAGACACCCTGTAGATTAAGATTATCTTTGATTTTTCGGTTTCAAATGAATACATGGTGAATCGTGGCAGCCATTCAGAATGGCACACTGCGGGAAATATGCAGTAACATAAACAATAATTAAGACAATCACGTGAAAATTACACTGTTTTCCTTAAATATGACTAAACGTGGGTGAAAAATTTCAAGTCCCTTTGTTTACAATTATCTAATAATTTGTTATTCCAAAGATCGCTTAAAAATGACGTCTCCAGATGGAAATACCCTCTTAATTTGCAAAATCTAATTTTCACAGTTCAAAATGAAATATAAAAACGCGCAGTACAACATGTCACGTGACGAATTTATTTGTGTTTCTATGCACTTTGTCACGCTATTAGCGGACTATTAAGGTAAAGGAAAATTTCCAAGGGAACCCCCTCTATTGTCCCATTATTTTCTAATGCGAACCCCGGCTTTATTGCCTCCAACCAATTTCTTGAAATTTTAGGAAGGTCGTAGCAGGTTAGGGGATCACCGTTACGCGGCTAAATCCTCAAGTTTCCAGAAAACGCCCCCATAACGGAACAGAAACCCCTTAAAAGGGAAGGTTTAAGAACCTGGTGCATTCAGTTCGACGATAGATTCCTAGCAAGGATGAAGTTTCTCGCTTTTCTGTTAATCCTCGGCTCTGCTGCCATTATGGTCGCCTGTCGACCGATAGAAAGTGAAATAAATCCTGTGGAAGGTAAGAATTCTCTATTCTACATCTCTCAAATATCGAACGATTCTTTTCCTGATTTAAAAAAAAAAAATCTTTCTTCCGTGAGAAATTTGTTTAAATTCGAAACTAATTAATTAAATTCAAACTGATATATTTTCAGCAGAGGAAAAGGCTAATGGGACTATGGAAATCAAGCAGGAGCTGCAGAGAGACAAGAAACATATCCACGTTCATCAAAGAGAAAAAGTACACAGTGTCAGGTAAATAATTTGTAATAATAGTACCTTTACAAGATAAAATATTATACTTTAACGTAGAATTTTTGATTTTTTTTTTTTTTTTTGACGTAGATTGACCTCTTCCGGGTTTAGACGGCCGATTTTTCAGCCGATTTCACGATTTCTTTTTTCGGTGACGAGATGAATTATAATATTGGTGTTTTGTTTATTCCTTTATTTATCTTCTGGCTGTGTAAAATCAGTAGTGAAGACTTGATACGTTTACAACATTCAAAGTTATATACCGTGACGTACGAACATCTTTGTTGACTTGTCCCAAGCCTGACGGTTTTTCTGTTGATCAGAAAAAATTGGACGAAGTGTTTTTATCGGTGCTTCAATCCTTAAGAGTGTCGTTATCATATCGACCACGACTATAAATTCGAAAAAAATTTTCTACAAAGTGACAATCGGTTAAATTAAAAAATACCTTTTTCTCGTGCGATTTTTGTAAGATTCAAGTGTCAAAAAAAGCGAGGTTTTGAGAATATTGACCTGTGATTATGACAGTATAAAGGGGAAAGCAATAGGTGCAATAGTTTCAGAAAATACCATGGGATAGTGTTGGGAAACTTGATTTTGATAAAATCGCGTTTAAAGAGTTTCGAAGATTTGCTTTTAAGGAGTCGTTCAAACTCTCATAGCTCATATAATTTATCCAATTTCGAAAAATCGTTTCACAGAAATATTCTCCAAGCTATAAAGCCAAAAAAAAAGAATATAGATTTGTTTCTCTCTGAAAACCAGAATACCCCCTTGAGTAGGTTAAATTTTAAACTAATTATATTTCTAACTTTTCTGTAAACAACATTTTTGACAGAGAAAAATGTTATCGAATAAGTTCAAGAATGCAAAAGCTCTGTTGATTTCCTTTACTCCGAAAACCAGAATACCCCCTCAAGTAGGTTAAATTAGGAATTATTTACATTCTCAACTTTTGCACATCGTTTATCCTATCCTATGGTAAACACTCTTTTCGATCGAGAAAAGTGTGCGAATGAAAAATATCGATTTCTTTCACCCTGAAAACCAGAATATCTCCTTGAAACAATTGTAATTTTCTCACACTATTTTCGTAATACACTATATAAACATTACATTATCATCGCTCACCATGAGTATTACAGTTTCAGTGTGCCAGCGCCTGTGGTCAACATCGCGTTGAGTAAATCCGTGGTGCAGCCTCGACCTCCTCACCCTTATCTTCTACAGCAACATGGATCCAAATTCGAGACGCACAGTTTTGCCACGAATACCGGTCAACTACACAGCAGCATGTCCATTGGAAGTAGCGAATCCCAGCAATATGTGTCGAACTATTGATGAAACGGCTCGTCCTAGAAAACGAAGATTTCTTTTTATTTACCGTGACATTTATTTTATTTTTCGAAAGTGTACGTTTCTTTTTTTTTTGTTTTTCTTTCATTTAGACGAGAGATAGTTTTATAAGAGTTAGCAAAATCAAAGCGTATTGTTGATTATCATTGACGAAGGTAACGAATGTAGCATTTAAGCATTTAATAATAACAGTAGCTGGTAGATTATCGATTAGTAAATTCGACACAAAGACTGTGAGAAGTCGGCTACTGTAATTTTTTGGGAGAGGTGTAAGACTGAATTTGTATATAAAACTGCTATTATTCGATTTGTTTAAATGGAACTGTATCGAGGGTTTATATTACAATAAATATGACACGTTAGAAACTGCAACTGCCTCGAATATTCTTGATTTAATTATGTCATTTTAAAAACTGTCTCGACTATTCTTTATTTTACAAATCTTCAATCCTCCGATTGAATTCCTCCCAAAGGGAAAAATTGATGTTATTGCAAAAGTGAAATGTCAAGAACCCAGCGAAACCTTGAACGTATCCACGGGGTAATTACTCAAACGACATCAGATTTTACCATCGAAATTCCCAAAAGAGATATTGAATAAAACATGATCTCACGAAAGCATCGACCTGCGCCATCCACTTCACCAGCGTCACCTATCCGATTCATAAATCTCTCTGTCCACGTGATTCCCCGGAGCGTCTAGGTTGACGTCAAGTCGATTAGCGTTTCTTAGACACTTTCTTGTGGTCCACTTTCGTTCGTCCCTGGATGGTAAGGCCGTCCACTCGTTAGGAGCCAATAAGGATCGTGCCGGAAATTACGAACCGCGGGCATGTGTATTCCTCGAATTTCGGCGGTGAAGGGTCCTTAGTATAAAAGCAACGTGCTCCAACGATTTCTCACCGATAATCTCACGATTCCACGCCTTGCCAGTAGGTTATTCTACGACTCATTTCGTCGAGATGTTAATCAGAAGCCTCTCGTTGTTGGTATTGTGCGCGGTGGTGTACCAGTGTCACGCGAAACCGGCGCAAGTGTTACTGGAGCCTCTGTCTTTGAGTCCGGTGCAACAGCAAGTGGTGCTCGTGGATGCTGGTCAGTTGTTACGGGGAATTTTATTTTATTTTGTTCAGAAACGATAGTTTCTTGCAAACACTTTGACTATCAGAATGAGTATCTGCAAGATTCGAAATGAACTCGCTGTACGAGACCATTGGAAAATTTGAAAAAAGAATGTAACTTTCGTTCAGAAGTATTAGAACACTTATGGAATTGGGAAAAAATCTAAATCGTCATTACAAAGTTATTAAAAATAATTATAGCAATGTAAATAGTCAATGTAAAAAAATTCAAAATTTTATATAATCTCATTGAGAAACATTGATTTCTTTTAACTCTATCTATTAAAATGAGTATCTACACGATTTTAAATTGGAATCACTGTACGCCAAGATTGGAAAATTTAAAAAATATATGTAAGCCTCGTTTATAAGTGTTAGGACCCTTATGGAATGTGAAATAAATCTAAACCGTCGTTACAGAATGATTAAAAATAATTAGAGCAATGAATGTAAAAGAATTCAGAATTTTATTTAATTTCATCGAGAAACGTTAATTTTTTGTAAACACCTTGACTATCAAAATAAGTATCTACACGATTTTAAATTGAAATCACTGTACAAGTTTGGAATATTAAAAAAATTAATGCAAGTCTCGTTCATAAGTATTAGAACACTTATAGAATGTGAAAAAAGACTAAACCGTCGTTACAAAATTATTAAAAATAATTACAGCAATTAATGAAAAAAAATTCAGAATTTTGTTTAATTTCATCGAGAAACGTGAAATTCTTTTAACGAAATGAAATTACATTTGAATGAAACGATTTCTTTTAACTCTTTAACTATCAAAATGAGTGTCTACACGATTTATAATCAATCGCACTGTACGAAAGATTGGAATATCGTGATTGCGAGAAAACCGTAGCAAATTTAAAAAATCTATTCAAACCGTCTTATTTCGTATAAAAAGTAAATAAACTTTCTCCTCTTCCATTTTTCTCACAAATCTACCATTTACGAAAAGAAAACTAATAGCGTGAACGCCCTGTACATTTTTACCGATACATGATACTAACTTTCTATACAAACATAACAGGTACCCTAACATTTACGAGCGCTAGTGTACACTGTTACGATCGCTTAATACTTTTCGTACATCATTTGCATATCAAATTTTTCAGCTCGTACCATTTTTCTTCTTTGCAGCTAGCAAAAGGGAGCAACGTTCGCCGCAATTTGGTTTCCCAAACGAAGGTTTCCTAGAAGACGAATACGACGGGGAGCGTCGTCACAAGCACCATAAGCACCATCTGAAACGAGAAGACTGCCTTGAATACCCTTGTGGCGAATATCCGGAGTACGTATCTCAACAATTACCAAAAATCAACGTTTTTTCCTCTCTTTCGAACGTGTTGAAATCTTAATTTTCTCGTTATCTTAGATATCCACCACCTGGAGCGATTCCAGCACCATTCGTGCCGCCACCCGGCGAAATTCCTCCGCCATTCCTGCCGCCACCTGGTGAAATTCCTTTACCAGGAGCAATTCCGCCAGCTTATCCACAGCCGTACCCTGAAGGCGGTGCAGGAGAATCCTTCGCCTCGGCTTCATCTGGATCCAACAAAGGTCCGTTCACCGAAGGACAAAGTCAGGCGAACGCACAGGCTGGTAATTTCAACGCTGGTGGAAATCCCTATACAGAAGGGCAAAGTCAATCGAATGCACAGAGCGCTAGTTTCAACTTCGGGCCCTATTCCGCGTCGTTCAGCGTAGCTGAATCGTCATCCGGTGGTCCAAAGTTTTAATCTAGAGTGAGTATGTGTAATTGTAATTAACACTATTCCGTCAGTCATTTTCACGTTCCAGTGGGAATTATTTACGTAACAATCGATTCATACGGTGCAAACGTTCTTTATTTGAATAAGACCGATTCTTGGAGACTAGTTCGTCTTTTTTTTTTTAAAGAGTCTTGCTATTTTTATTTAGAACTTCTGAGTTTCGTTGTTGCTGTTTCTTCTTTTGTTAATCGTTTCATTGCTGTTGGTGCCTGTAGGAGATTTGAAAATTTTCTGGTACTGTACAGTTCGCGCCTTTTGACGCACTTTCAACTTAATTCAATCCTTAACTTTATCTTTTAAGTAGTTCCATCTTTATTTAATGAAACAATTTTCGTTGTAATTTTTTAACGAAGCTACGAACGATCTATGTTTATATAGCATTTTTTTCTTACTTACTTTTTCTTACATACGTTGTTGTCCACTTTCGTTTGAACGTATTGAATATTGATATCGAATGCGAAGCAAACTTAAACGATCATCAAAGAATTAGTATCCACAAAAAGAATCATATGTGTAATACTTTCTGTACGAACATAAAGGGTGTCCTAATACGTATGAAATATAGTGTATACATAAAATGAGGATTTAACTGAGGGTTCAGGACCTTATCTTTTCATATTTCTGTCAATTCCCTTATTAGAACACTCGCAACATATTCATATTCATTTTTGACCGATTTTATGATCTCGCTATATTTATTCCATGAATTATACACGCTCGATTAACTCTTTCACTGCTGTTGGCGCATATTGGCGCTTTGAAAATATGTTTGCGCTGTGCCTTTGGCGCCTATAGGCGGTTTGAAAGTTTTCCCGCCGTGTCCTTGACGTCTATAGTCGTTTTAAAAATATGCTCGCGTTGTGCCTGTAGCGCCTTTTGACACACTCTCACCTTAATTTTCATCCTTTGCGCACTTCCACCTTAATTTAACAAAAAAAATTTTAAACGATAAATTCTAAATTTTTATTTGCAAAATTTCATCCTTGGCGCATATAGTCGGTTTGAAAATGTGCTCGCGTTGTGCCTGTAGCGCCTTTTGACACACTCTCACCTTAATTTTCATCCTTTGCGCACTTCCACCTTAATTTAACAAAAAAAATTTTAAACGATAAATTCTAAATTTTTATTTGCAAAATTTCATCCTTGGCGCATATAGTCGGTTTGAAAATGTGCTCGCGTTGTGCCTGTAGCGCCTATTAACACACTTTCACCTTAATTTAATCCTTAATTTTCATCTTTTAAAAGCGAAAAATTCCAAATTTTTATTTGTAAAATTTCGAAAAATTTTCAAACACTAAAATGAAAGATTCCCTGGCCGTCAGTGAACGTCTATCGTCTACCACACGCGTTACGCGCTGAAATCTGCCACAGCGAAAGGGTTAACAGTGAATGCTGTTGCAGAGAAACAAGCGACAATTTTAAAGAAGATTCAATTACGACAGACAAAATTTAATTCAGACAATTCGAAATAATTTCTTTCCACCGTTCTCGAGGAACACGTGTAACGATGTGACCAATCGACACGCACAGAACCCCCCGCGTCCCATAACCGAGAATATTAATTGACTTCGCGCGCGTGTAGCCTGAGCACGCGCGTCGCAACTCAACGAGCATTATCAACAGCCTCACTCGAGAACGAATCGATTTGAACCGTGCAATCGACTCTTCCTGTAATTCCTTCAGGCACGGATGCCTAGGCGTACGCTTCTGTTTACGAGCTGGGAATGCTCGAGTCTTCTCGCCTACCTCTCTGTATCGTGAGCTAAATACACGCTCTAATCACGGGCTCGAAGCTTCAGTTTAGAATTCCAGGAAACGCGCGATTCACGCGGACGTGAGTCGATTGGTGGCTCGAGGGGGATAAATCGCGACACCCTTTCCGCGAGGCTAAACGAATAAACCGCTGGTGAGGTGAATGTTGAGCGAGGTTTGCGTGAAACACGTGCTGAGGATACTTGGCTTGCTGTCAACACTTTAGATGCTAATATGGAGCATTAAATGTAGACCCTTGTAGTCTATCTTTTTATGAGAAGAAATTTCCAAGGAATTCACATTGCAAATCGTCCTTTTTTTCGTTTTTAAACCTTATACGGTGTTCGTGAAGTTACAGGAATAGGTAAATTTGGGTCAAATTGTTGTGAAACGTCATTTAATGAAATATCAGTATGTTTTTGTTATAAAGTATTATTTAGTGTACTTTAAGATTACGTGTTGTCAGTTTAATACATTTTCGAGATTTCGGGGAATTGCTATGTTACACAAATATTTAGACACTTAGCAAAAGTTAATATTTTGAATATTTGTAGTATAATGTTTACTCGCATTCGTAATGTTTTAATTACCTGCTCTGCGTTTAACAAGTGTTTTGTTAGAATCGGAATATTTTTGGAACATCGTAAATTGATCCACAAATTCCACAAGTGTCGACGAAATATATACTCGATTTCCATTAAAAGAATCCTACAAATTTAGTTCTTTTCTTGTCAAAATTATTAATGATCACTAAATATTTAAGTATATGAGAAAGTTTCAGTCCGAACGATACATTCAACAACAAAGGAAAAGAAAATTTTGTCTAGATTTTCGGTCAAATTGACCCAATTTCCGTACAAGGGTCAAGTCACCGTTATTCCATAATTTATTACCGATGTTCGAGAGGAACCTAAGTGTTCTACGTTTAAGAAACGGAGAAACGATTGGAAAGGTGGTCCACGGTTCGAACGAGGAAATTCCCAATGCGCCGATAACGAATAGAAAATCGCGAAGCGTTCGAACAAGCGCGCCACACGTCCCATTGGTCGGAAGGATCTCAAGGCTCCGTTGTTCCTTCCAGAGAGGCAGCCGTAAATTCACGCGTGTCGGGTTAATGAACTTCGTCCATTAACCATTTACATGTTTTTACGGAACGTCTTTCACCTCTGGCTAAAAGGGGGGAACATCTGCCAATCAAGTTTCGATACATCAATTTCTTCTGTGCTTTTCACCAATCTTCGAAACCACGTTAACATGTATACAGTTACCGGAATTAATGTTCACACACACCCTTTGGAACAGTGTGACTTTTTTTAAATTGGACCAAACCATTTCAGTGTTTTTTGAGAAGTTGGAAGAATCAGTTTACTATAATAGATGACGTTTGTAAAAAATTTTGAAAAAATTGCAATTGGTGGGTATCGCTAAGAAAATTTTAAAGTCACTTTTTACAACTTTTTTATCTCAGCTTGTAATGAAAATTGTAACAAATATGTAATATGGAAGAATATTTTTCTTCTCCTGTAGCGCTTGTGACACACATTCCATAGTCTTCGAGGTCGATTTTCATATTCGTAATTTCCGTAATGTTCAAAAAGACTCTTGGACCCATCCTTAACCCTTTTGCTTGTGATTTCTTTTTTTGCTTACTACGCATCTAATTTATGCACCTATGTACCTTTTTAGTCCTGTTTTAGTCCTGTACTAGGTATGAATAAATTTTTCAGTGATAATCCATTTTCAGACTATTCAGTTTGCTAAAAACTAGAGTGTGTCAGTAAAATAAACATTTCTCTGTAATTTTTCGTCAAAAAATATTACTTTCTTAAAAAAGAAATTAGTGCAAATACGTAACGAAAACGACGAGTGTACCTCGTGCTTGGTGAATACGACCTCGAGTGTTACTCGTTATTTCAGTGCAAAGGTTAATGATATTTGGTGATCCTCGATCTTGCAAATTAAAACCTAACCTAACTTTGAAATTAATTCTTGTTGCTAATATGGCAACTTGTGTCACGAGTCTGACTCATTGTTAGAAGACAAAGGGTTAATAATGTGAAGAAGGATTTTTCACATTATTGAAACTGATCGTAGGAGCGATTTTTCGAGTCAGCGCGTTGGTACTCTCGTTGTTATTTCGAGACAAGCCGCGGAGACATCGTTCGAGTAAATCGTATCTATTGAACTACTTCGTAAATGGGACATATTGCTGCTTGAACTTCGCTAGCAAGTGCAGGTTTATGAGTTTATTGCTTCAATGTACGCTAGAACCTCGATCTTTGCACGAAAATGGACTGAAAATAGGTACAAGCATCGAGGTTCATGCAATTAACCAGCAACCTATCTGTGGCATGAGACCTCCCACATATGAGACTAAAATTCATGCTTCACCTTATATTGCATTTCATTTTATTTACTCGTAACTAAGTGACAATATTCACCATGTGTTGGCGGAATGCAATAATCGAGGTTCTGCTGTATTTTAAGCTTCAGTTTTTCGCCACGAACACCTTGATACACCTGTGTTGAGCCGGTGAGCCGATACGATTGAAAATTCCAATATTTCAATTCTACGAATTCTTGAGAAAATTTGAAATTGACAATTGAGAAAACTGAGAATTTGTGAAAATGTTCCGAAAATACTAATCTCTGAAAATATGCAAACAAAAGAAAATCGCCTTTTTTTAAATTTCAAACAGACGCAACCCTTTAACGAAACGACTTACATTCTGTGTTCTATCGAGAATTTCTTAAACATTCCGAAGACAAAAAAAGAAGAAGATTAATCGAGTATAGTTAGATGCAAAAGAAGAGATGCTTTCTCTCGAAGGTTCCTCGACCGTTCACCCCGCGCAAAAGACCAAGCATCCTCGAATGAGACGAGCTCGAAAGGGACCATTGGCCAAAGAGAAGAAGGCCTCGTCGAATCGAAGGTTAACGAACCCGCGCGAATTAAAAGCAGGAAAGGAAGCCTGACGTAATCACATGGTCCCGTGTCGTCTTTTCACCTATGCATTTCTAACGCGACAGCGACCGATCGTGAAACGACCACTCACAGAAAGAACGTAGAAACATCTGTCGAAAGTTTCAGGGTCCAGTTCGAGGCGACGCAACAATCATCCTCTTTTCATGATCGTGCGTGTGTCACTTTTGTCGTGACTGCCTTCGAGACGTTTCTCTCTCTCTCTCTCTCTCTGTGTCTCCAGTGGACAAAA